CCCATTAGTTTCAAGGAATGGCCTCGAAAGTCTATCTCATTTGAGAATACAAACTTGTGTAATTTTTCCTAAATTTTTCAAACTAACTGATTTGCTCAAGAGTTGTTGGGAAAACTTGCCTTCAACAATCAGTTGTTCGATAGCTCACAGAACCGGAAACTTTTCTTGTATGGCATTTTGTAGAACCAACTCAGTTTCGAATTTGCGCACTCATCAGGGAGTATTCCAAATATTTTCGAACTTGATTCATGTCTCCAAAAGCGATATTGCACAAACTCGTCTTTCACGTTTGATCAGTTTTGAGCGGATTAAGAAGCTTGCCACAACAATTGCCGTATTAGACAAAGTGTTTAATCTCGAACTTCCTTATCTATGTTATCTGGATCTCACTAAATCCATTATTTAGGTGCTGAATCATTTTTCCATGGACCATTAATGGACAAGAAATGTGTCTTTTTTTCTAAAATCTAATGAATATTAAGCTGCCGTCGGGCGTCGACTTAAGCTTTTCGATTAAATCGCAAACTATCAACTTTTTTCAGCCTCGATTTACTGTTATTAGACAGGTATTCCTGTTAGATTGTAAAGCGTCGATCAACCGCGCCCACTTTCAATTGAATATTTTTCTAATTATACCAGTTTTATATAGAAAAATGTGCAATTTTACCGCGAAGATCGACCATGTTAACTCGGTTAGCTGCGCCACAGTTTCGCAGTTAAGAAGCCAACTTATGCGGTTATTAGTGCCACCACATGTGGAAGATTTTCTTTATAGCCAGGATTATTTATAAACTAATCCAGTTATATCTACACTTGCTTTATCATCCTGTAATTGACTCGGGAAGGTTGACCGGGGGGGCAATCATTGGATGCGTCACTTTTTATTTCAAGTTCGTTGCACTTTTTTTGATTTTTGGAGAGCCGAACTCAATAATTTTTCCGACAAAAACTGAAAACAGATGCGCGCTAGATCAAGTTCAGGTCATCCCAGACTGTGCCTGTGTAAATGTAAATAAGCCTCAGTTTATTGTTGATTTAATGCTTAAGATCGTAAGCAGCCAAAACAACCTCAGGAAACGGGTGCCTGTTTACAAATAAACATGTCTGTAAATTAGCCGTTTACTAATTAATAATACACTTAACTGGTGTTTCTATCAAACAAGAACAACTGAAAAAATCAGCCAATTAAACCCCGAAAAACGCTTTTTGTTGGAAAGGTCGACATTTACCTCAATATCTTATCTTGCTTGTTTTCCACGACTTATCAAGAATCCTGGTCCAATCGCCTCACATTAAACGCACTCATTCACAGCACAATAAAGAAATCAACTTAAAACAAAGCACCGGCCTTCGGCCACAACTGAGTTTTTTGCACAAAAACGACTGATTTCTAATAAATAACCTAAGTTAGTAGCCACTGGGAAAAACACTCTTAACATTGACACCGTAGTCTTGATAGTTGCGTTTCGAAGTACCCACTGAAGCACACATTTCTAAGCGTGGTACTGGTGGAAGTCGATTTGATACATTCTCCAAGTAGCACTTAGTAGTAGAAAGGACTGCAGACGGACTGGGAAT